TCCGATCTATATGCGTGTATTATATATGTGTATATATATATATATATTTATTATGCGGCTATTTGTATATATACAAGTTTACAACACGTTTAAAACCAAAAGAAAGAACAATAAAAAAGCTGTCATTGTAGCATGCATCATTGTGATTTTCAAAATATCAAAATACCCGCTGTAATGATGAATTGATTCAGATTTTGGACCCACTTTCAAACAAATGAATATTATTTGTTTTTGCGTTTGTTTTCTCAAATTGGCCAATTCAGTTTTTGCTTTTACTTTTTTGAATATGACATTCCCTAATTGTAATCTATTTTCCCACATAAAAGATGGGTTAAAACTTTTTCCCAATTCAAGTCCGAATCTCCAATTAGGTCAAGATATTCCCCTGATTTTCTCCGATACAAATTCAGAATTGTCAAATATATATATATATATATATATATATATACTTTGACTGTTCTGAGTTGATGGTCAATTTACGCACAGTATAATACATCTAGTGGCCCAACCCAAAAGTCATGAATTAATTAATAGTCAACTTCTAATCAAATGTGGTCCGATTTTCTTTATTTGGTGGATATATAAATTTTCCTTTTGCTAAAAAGACTGAATCGTAATAATTATGGTCCAGGAATACAACAGAAAGTGAGAAGAGATTTCGACCCATCAAAGAAATACCGTTCCAAGTGACGCACACCGTGTCGCCTGAGAAGCTCGAAATCTTCAACTCCATGGAGAAATGGGCCGACCAAAACTTGTTGGCTTATCTGAAACCCGTGGAAGATTCTTGGCAGCCACAGGACTTCTTGCCCGAACCAGAATCCGACGGATTCTACGAACAGGTCCGAGAACTCAGGAACCGAGCTAGGGAGATCCCAGATGATTACTTGGTTGTTTTGGTCGGAGATATGATCACCGAAGAAGCACTTCCCACGTATCAAACCACTCTGAATACACTCGACGGCGTTAAAGATGAGACCGGAGGCAGCCTGACGCCGTGGGCGATCTGGACCAGAGCTTGGACGGCCGAGGAAAACCGACACGGCGATCTTCTCAACAAGTATCTTTATCTGTCGGGACGTGTCGACATGAGACACATCGAAAAGACTATACAGCATCTTATCGGTTGCGGTATGGTAAGTCTCGATCTCTTCATCATAGCTATATATAAGATCTCTACGTACGTAACGTACGGTACGTGCATGGGTATTTATATGATGCGTGCATGTTTTGTTTCAAGGATTCGAAATTTGAGAACAACCCTTACTTCGGATTCATCTACACTTCATTCCAAGAACGAGCCACGTTCATATCTCACGGCAACACCGCGAGGCTGGCAAAGTCCCACGGCGACGACTTCCTCGCGAGGATCTGCGGCACGATCGCGGCGGACGAGAAGCGGCACGAGGCGGCGTACACGGCCATCGTCGATCGTCTCTTCGAGATCGACCCCGACGGAGCCGTACAGTCTCTGGCCACCATGATGAGGAAGCGGATCACTATGCCGGCTCACCTGATGCACGACGGCCGTGACGGCGATCTCTTCGACCACTACGCCGCCGTGGCTCAGCGGATCGGGGTCTACACGGCGGAGGATTACGCCGGAATTCTGGAGTTTCTGCTGCGGCGGTGGAAGGTGGAAAGGTTAGGGCAGGGGTTGTCCGGCGAGGGGAGGCGGGCGCAGGATTATCTGTGCACCTTACCGCAGAGGATCAGGAGGATGGAGGAGAGGGCGAGTGAAAGGGCCCAACTAATTGGGTCGAAACCCTCTGTTTCGTTCAGCTGGGTCTTCGGCAGAGAGGTAAGCTTGTAGTTTAATGGTGATTAATTAATTAAGTTATTAATTAAATAAGTAAGTAATAAAATTTGCTTTTAATCTTTAATTAAGCTTTCAACTTCAAGGCGTGAAAAATCGTGGTGTCTCGTTGTAAATTCCATGACGTGGAACTTGTGCTTTGGCTTGATGCTTGTATTTCTACACTTCATATATATATATATATATATATATAATATGTGTGTGATCCAAAAATATAACTCTCTCTCTATATATTTTGTTGTTTTTTCCTCATTGACTGTATTATATTTGATGATCTAACTATACATTAAAACGGTGAAAACTATAGAAGATTGATATATTACTTAACCAAAAATAAAATAAAATTTTCAAACGATGGTGAAATCTAAGTATTAAATATAATTTCAAATAAGCAATAATTTTTATCTATTTATATGAAAACGTACTTGTTATATAAAACTTTTCCATGATTATGAATTAAATGTTAGATGAATGGAAAAAAAAAACAACGACGATTGCATCTTTAAAAAACAATACATTACAAATACGATATAGATGTTGAGATTTTAATTTTATGTTGTTATTTCACGTTTTAGATATTTAAAAAATTGGAAAACATAATTAATTTTCCGTACTAGTTAATACTGTACAATGTGATATGCAACTATAAAATGTTTTTTGGGCACTTTAATGTGATATATTTTCAATCCGCATTTCTAAACATTTAATATATAGCTTAAGAAGCTTCTAGAATTCCATCTTTTTATTTTTCTTTAAAAAATGTCTATTTGGGGGTCGGGGCAGGGATGTAATTAGAAAAGAAAAAGGGGGGTATTATAGAGAATGGAAATCGCCCTTCTCGATTGTCACGCCCTGAGTTCTAAGTCGCTCGTTCGCCTCTGGCCCTCCTCCGCTATCTTCCCTCCTTAAATACCTCTCGCTCACCTGTCACAACGTAGATAGAGAATCTGAGGATTGCAATTGAGAAGAATCGAAGTTCTGTTTTGTTTTTTGGTTGTTTTTTTTCTTCTCGTTCCTCGTCTTTTTATTTTTATTGTTTGGTCGATATACTCGAGGATACCGGAGAAAAATGGCTACTGCAATGGATCGGATCGCTTTCTTCCCTTCCTCCTGCATCTATCGTCCTTCTCAATCTCGAAGATTCGGATCATCCGGAGCCTCGACGATTCGCTGCGCCACTACGTGAGTTCTTCGCTTCATTAGGGATCGTGGGCTCGTTTTCTTTTGTTTTGAATTATTGCCCCCTTGAATTTTCTTGATCCGGGGTTGTGTTTGAGCATCGGTCATTCTCTGCATTGGGTCTCTCGACCTACTTGTTTTGGTCGAATTTATATACAATCCGCTGTTATTTTGTCTGTGTATATAGCCATTTGTATGCATCCATGTTCTGTCTTTCTTGAAAGTTATTTCGATTTTGTGATTTGCTGCGTTTAAACAAGCAATTCATCGAATGTGTAGAAATTCTGGAAATTTGACCCCCCCCCCCCCCCAACCCCAAAATCAATTTCCTACTCATCATTCGCTTGTCTGCGTATGCATTGATGCATGTAAATGTGCGTATACTATGCGAAGTTTGGTTCTGGATTTTTCCTCGCTTGCTTGTTGTGTTTTGAAGAACTCTATTAAGTAATGTACGGTTGTCTTGTCTTGTACTGCATGTGTCCCCTTGCTTTCATTTTCATTGAAGGGAATCTCTTTCTTGTCGGAACCTCCCCTTTGGACGCGTTTAGTTTATAATTTGCGTGCAAGTTGGTTTCTTGGAAGTATTCTGCCATTGAAGTGTCATACGTAAAGAACTCAGAAGTGGTTCTTCTCGTTAATTCAAGTCTTATTCTTTACCGATACAATCACTGCTTAGATTCTGGTCTGCTGGTGCATAATTTTAGGATCGAATTGGTTTGAAGTTGTAGGATCATAAAAAGAATATGCCATCGACCTTTCGAATGTCTGTTATTGATATTGCCCATGATCATTGCTTACAAATTCTCTTCTGATGGTTGTGGTAAAAAAAATGTCGTGTACTTTCAATTTCTGTTTACTGATGCGTCGACGGGCATAAGAAGTACATAATATCATGGTCGTTGCGTAGTTGTTTAGTGGATCTTTTGATCGCTTACCCTTTTGATAATTTAAATTGACTGCAGCGAGGTTACAAATGGAAGGAAGGCGTATATTCCTCCCCGAGAGGTGCATGTCCAAGTGAAACATTCCATGCCTCCCCAAAAGTTGGAAATCTTTAAATCCTTGGAAGGATGGGCTGAGCAGAACCTGTTGACTCTTCTAAAACCTGTTGAAAAATCATGGCAGCCGAACGATTTTCTTCCGGAATCTGAATCAGAAGGGTTCTATGACCAAGTCAAGGAATTGAGGGAAAGGAGCAAGGAAGGAGGGGCTTATGTATAAGTGGAAGAGACTCGGATTTTCCAAATATGACCGTTGGTGGTGCAAAAGTGGAGCCCAGATCGAACTAACGGCTACTTTTGCTTTTTAATATTACAAAAATTTGCAATTTGACGTAGGTGGCCCACTCTTCCGACCTACCAGACAATGTTGAACACCTTGGATGGGGTTAGGGATGAGACTGGTGCAAGTCCTACTTCCTGGGCGATATGGACACGTGCTTGGACCGCCGAAGAAAATAGGCATGGGGATCTTCTTAACAAGTATCTGTATCTGTCTGGACGTGTAGACATGAGGCAGATTGAAAGGACGATTCAGTACCTGATTGGTTCTGGAATGGTTAGTTCCTTTGATTTTAGATGCTGAAGGAAGTTTATTTTTCCCATTTCCTTTCCTTTACTCTGAAGTTGTCTGATCTTTAATCTGAAGGGTATCTGAGGATGAGATGAACCGAATGGAGGCTTTAGCTCAGCCCTCTTCTACGCTATGCTTTTGTGTTTGTTTCTATAAAATTTTATAGCCTGTGTTAATGTATCTGACTTGTTGGTTGTCTTTGCTTCTTAGGATCCGAAAACCGAAAACAACCCTTACCTGGGTTTTATATACACTTCCTTCCAAGAGAGGGCAACATTCATCTCCCATGGCAACACTGCCAGACTGGCAAAGGAGCACGGGGACTTGAAACTTGCACAGATATGCGGCATTATTGCTGCTGATGAGAAGCGCCATGAGACTGCCTACACAAAGATTGTAGAGAAACTCTTTGAAATTGACCCTGATGGCACGATCATGGGCTTGGCTGACATGATGAAGAAAAAGATCTCGATGCCTGCCCATTTAATGTATGATGGCCGTGATGATAACCTATTTGAGCACTTCTCATCCGTGGCCCAGAGGCTCGGTGTCTACACTGCCAAGGACTATGCTGATATACTGGAATTTCTCGTGCAACGGTGGAAAGTGGAGGATTTGTCAGGCCTTTCAGGCGAAGGGCGAAGGGCCCAGGTAACAACACTCTACCATGAAGCGCTATATATATATATCCCTAGCTAGAACTGCTTGAGGCCTTTCTTGGGCTTATTTTGTTACCTGATGCTGTGATGTGACTGTCTTCTCTGTGCATTCAAAGATTAAATAGACATTGCTGCTCTGCTGAAACATGACATAAATTCGAGTTGCGATTGCCTCCACAGGACTTTGTTTGCGGATTGCCAGCAAGGATCCGCAGAATAGAAGAGAGGGCTCAAGGAAGAGCCAAAGAAGCCACAAGAAACGTGCCCTTCAGCTGGATTTTCGGCCGAGAGATCCGGGTTTGAATGAAATGTAATACCCGCTAAGGCTCAAAGCACAAAGCTTGACCGGGCGAAAATCTAAAGACCTAAGAAGTTTGAATGTTCTGCCGAGCTCTTTGTAGATACGTATGGTGTTCGGTTCGTCCTGTTTGTCTGTTTGAGACCAAAGCTTGTTTGAGTATGTGAACTATTGTGATGTCTGTTTACCAAAGAAGTAGAATTCCCCCAAAGTGTTTGCCTTCTTTTCCCCTTTTGGGGTCTCTTTTTTGTCTTCATCAGTAATTGTTTCCTAAAGTAACAGGAATTTGTCCTTTGTTGTTTCCTCAGGGTTCGGTGGTTAAGTCTAAATTAAATAATAACTTTGGTAAAGTTTCCAGCTTTTTGTTCTTGAACTCAAAAGCCGTTGATAGATATCTTAAGAAACATGTATTTTCTTAGAAGTAGCAATCCATCCCCAGAAATATTTGTGAACTATATAATATATATATTCGTCAACAAGCAAGTAGAAGATAGAATCAGCTCCCAACACGCAGGAACAAACGAACAAATCGAAATGATACACGAACCAATATGGAACCAAATCTAAATATTATCATCAAACTTGAAACTGCAATGGCCAGTCCTTGAGATTCTCCTCGTTCTGGACCTTACCCGTCCTCCTAGTGTCGCCGCCATCAACGTAAGCGTAGTACTTGAGGAAGAAGGCGAGAACAAGAACAACCCATTCGAGGCAAAATATCAGAACGCACAACCCACCAGCCAGTTTCAGGATCATGGCCGCATCGTCCTCACGCACGTAAGACTTGAGGCTACCCAGGAAGTTCGAGGTGTTGGTGAAGATGAGAACTGAAACAGATCCCTGGAATATGGCGGTCAGGACAGTGGCCACCATGTGAGCGGCGTACCATCGGTTTCTGCCGCAGGAGGCGGCGGCGCAGCCGGAGACGGCACCCACGATGGTGGTTGCGTGGAGGAGGATGAGGAGGAATCCGCAGATGGACGGGATTAGACGCAGAGATAGCGTTAGGAATATGCAGCTCGAGGCTGCTCCGAGGAGAACGTAGTTGGAGAAGAGGAAGATCTTGTGGGTGTGGTAGTGAGATTCTTCCACAGATTGATGCTGCTGAGGGATCAAACCCATGGTTTAGCGATCAGGATATTGAAGAGATTTGGATTTGGAGAAAAGGGTGAAAAGGGTTCTTCGGATTTCTAGAGAGAAGAAAGAAGAAGAAGAAGCAGAGGGAGAGAGAGAGGCTATGGGGATTTGGGAAGGGGAGGAGGGGCTTATGTATAAGTGGAAGAGACTCGGATTTTCCAAATATGACCGTTGGTGGTGCAAAAGTGGAGCCCAGATCGAACTAACGGCTACTTTTGCTTTTTAATATTACAAAAATTTGCAATTTGACGTAGGTGGCCCAATGGGCCGTTGTCCCTGACAAGGATATCTTTATCATGGATGGTGTCTAAGTTCCGCTCCGTGTCCAAACAAGTAGCGCTGATGAAGTATGATCAAGTCTCAGATTTTAGGGCTTATCGGTTTGGCTAGCAGAGCATCGCGAAGCTATAAGGGTTTTAGAGAGAGATGTGGAGATCGGTTGTATCGAGATCGCGAAATGCGTCGAGGAGTCTCATCGGAAATCGGACCTCAAAGGCTCCTTCATCTGTTGCCGTTGCTGAACCTCGTCCTCATTCAACCCCCGGATCCTCATTTCTAGTTGCTTTTGCTCGGAATCCCAGATTCTTCTCTGCTAGCCATGCGGAAGAGAATCCTATTTCAACCGGGCCCGAGATTACTTCGTTCGATTCAGATGTTACTACTGGAAGCGACGTTCTCGGGGAATCGGATATTTCCGATGCGGGATTTGCCGAAAGTGGTGATCTTGGTTCTGCTTCCCAACCCATTGTCGGTGTTGGTGAAGATGGTGGTGCTGTCGATGGCTTCTCTGAAAATATAAACGAGGATGGGGCTGGGCTGGTTGATGATGAAACAGAGCAGGTGTATGAGGTTGATGCCGATAAGTTAGAGTCTGTGTTGTCTTTGTTACGGAGTGATGAAGAGGCTTTAGAATTCTGCCTTAAGTCGCTTGATGTTGATTTGCACGTAGATTTTGTGGTCAGGGTTTTGGAGTCGCCAGGAATTTCAGGTCGGAACTCGATTAGGTTCTTGAAGTGGGCAATGGGGAAACAAGGGTTTACTGTTAACACTCCTGTTGTGGAAGCTCTTGTTATGGCAATTTCCATAGAAACTCGAAGGATGGATGCATATAGTTTGTGGGATTTGATTAAGGAGATCGGCGAAAAGGAGAGCAGTGTTTTGAATTTGGAGATTATGAACGAGGTGATAGCTGTTTTCGGGAAGCTTGGCAAACCAAAAGCTGCATTCGATGTGTTTAGTAAGATAGAGGAGTTTGGGTTTATTCCAGATGCAAAAACTTATTACTTGACAATGGAAGCGCTTTGCAAGCGCTCCTTCATGGAATGGGCATGTTCTGTTTGTGAGAAGATGGTTGCAGCTGATATACTACCAGAGGGCAGTAGGGTTGGTAATATCATAACTTGGTTGTGTAAGGAAGGAAAGGCCAGAGAAGCCCATTCGGTTTACATGTTGGCCAAGACAAAAGACAAGAACCCACCTCGTAGTTCAGTGGTTACTCTGATAGATTTCCTCTGCAGAAACGACGAGACTGTGTCACTAGCTCAACAGATGTTGGGTGATCTCTCCGGAGAAGGTAGAAGACAAGGAATCAAGCCGTTTTCTGATGTTATCCGTGGTTTATGCAGGATGAAAAATGTGAAAGACTCTAAAGCCTTGCTTTTGGATATGGTCTCCAGGGGGCCACCTCCAGGTAGTGCGGTTTTTAATTTGATAATCAATTCTTGTTCCAAAGCAGGAGATCTTAGTGAAGCGAAGGAGATGATCAAGTTGATGGAAAGTAGGGGTTTGAAACCGGACTTGTATGCGTATACTGTCATCATTAGTGGTTATGCAAAAGGAGGGCTTATGGATGAAGCATGTGAAGTTCTTGCAGAAGCCAAAAAGAAGCATAAGAAGCTCAGTCCAGTGACTTATCACACACTAATCCGTGGGTATTGCAAGATGGAGGAATATGGCAAGGCTCTGCAACTTTTGAGTGAGATGGATCGTTTTGGTGTGAAGCCGAATGCTGATGAGTACAGCAAGCTGATACAATCTCTCTGCATCAAGGCATTGGACTGGCAAGCAGCGGAGAGGCTGCTCGAGGAGATGAAGCAGAAGGGTTTGCATCTGAATGCGATTACTCGGGGGCTAATAAAGGCAGTGAAGGAGCTGGAATCAGAAGCCATGGAGGAATTGCCAGCTGAAGTCGAAGCCTAGGGTTTTGACTAGCATGGAGATTGTTAAAGGTTATATCCTGCCCCTTTTTTTTCTATGGCGTTCTTTCTCTTGATCCATTAAGTTAGCATTCTGGAAATAACCATGGTTTCTTGGGAAGGAAGGTATCTTGTTGTTGTTCTTCTCATCAAGAATTAAGATTTTGATGTTGGAGCCTCTGGTTATGGAGGAGACACAGAACTATCTGGAAGATGTTAGGCCGAATTCTATTCTCGATGTTTTGCTTCATCCATGGAAATCCAACTCTGTAGTTTGTCTTTGCTGTCTCTGAAGTTTAACAGAAATAATTTGTGGAGAAAGAGTTTTAAATTTCATTTATGTCATCCAAAATATTCACTACCTATGATTTTTTTCAATACAAAAAATAGCACAAAATCATATATATATATATATATATCATATCATATGTGCTGGTATGCATTCAGAAATGTGCCTTATCGGCTTCCATCAAATGAATATCATATATATATATATATGTTTATATATATACGCATGCATACATACATACATACATACATGTGTGTGTATTCGGATGGATTATATTACACGAAACCGATTAGCCAATTTAAATAATGATTAAGTAGTAATAAATGCTCGTGCTTTGTTTTTGTAAGATTGCGAGACGAAAACATTTTGAAAATTGGAACATGTTTTTATTTCACGTAATTCCCGCAAAGATGGAGGGGGAGAACCGCCTTTGCTGAAATTTTTTTGAGAGAGTTAAATAAATAAATGTTAACTGAGCTTCACTCTCTGGTGGACTCAGCCAATGAGAGGGCGACATCTGTCATGATCTCGTCCTCCATCGTCGCACCACAACAAATCCCTGAGATTTAGCGAAGCAACTCCGAGATCCATATTCGAAACTAAACCATAATTCCTCTCTCTCTCTCTCTCATTTCTCTCTCTGAATTACTGTTTTCTTGTCTTTGACGCGTACGGTGCTGTCCGATCTCCGACCGACGGAGTAGGTTCTTAGGAGTGCGATTCCCCCGGAAAGGCAGAATCTTTGCGGGATAGGGTTTTCAGGGTTCCGTATCGAGCCGTTGGAATTGTTGGGATTCTGTGAATTTTCCGGTAATTCGGATTTTCTTGACTCCGTATTCTGGTTTCGGAGCTGGTGAAGTAGTATAGGAACGTCGAGGGTTTCTATTCTGTAGCAATCGCCACGCTTTCGCCCGTTTCCAAAGCTTTTTTGAATTCCACCTTGGGGGTTCGAACTTCTGACGTTCTTCAAAGATTCTTGAATTTGAAGATTTCAACTTTGATTTCGATGGTTTTGAAAGTGTTATGCTTGTCTGGCTAGGGTTTGCGGAGAAATTCGTTACTTTCTCATGTATTTGATCCTTCTAGGTGTAGGTTTAAGGGCTAAGATCCTGAAAAGTCGGCTCCTTTGTTGAAAATTTAGGTTTTTTGGTTTCGAGGGGCGAGGAATGTTCTATTCACAGTTCATATTAGCCAAGAAAGGGCCACTGGGGACAATATGGATTGCGGCCCATTTGGAGAGGAAGCTTCGAAAGAATCAGGTTGCTGATACTGATATTGGCGTTTCTGTTGGTGAGTAGTCACTATTTGCTACTTGTTGTTTCCTCCAAGTCTTGCTCTTTGCTTCTAGAAAAGTTTCATGCTATTCGTTTGGTTAATTTTAGTGGAATATACGGATTTACATATGTTACCGTTATGACTGACCGGCATTAAGACTATTTTGTTTGAATTATGGTCTGTTATGTATATATATATATATCAGTGTTGAATATCCTTTAGGCGGCCACCGCGCCATTTTTTGTATAAGTGCACTTGAATTGCATTTGTTAGATGTTGGTGCATCAGGAATAGCATTTGATATAACTTCACTTTAAAAATTATACTGCATTATCATACCTTTTGAATTTTAGAGAGGAGACAAATTCTTTAGGGTGAATTATTACGCAAATAAACTTGAGATTAAGGCACGGTTGTTGCTGTTGTTGAATTGTTACGCAAGTAACGAGGAAACAGGAAAATAAGCTCTTAGGATGGAATGTCTTTTGCAATTATAGGAAGTCACATTATGGTGTTCACACAGTATCTCATATGTAAACTGTATAACATTATAGGAAGTAAATCGTTGAGTGGGACACTGTGTATCATTCTTATCTTAGGCTTTTATATTGATTTCTATTCTATGCAAAGAAAGTTTAGGTTTGTAGTTCTACCATTTAACTGAAAGTATAATTACGATGTGATGTGTATTTCCCATAGTTATGCTCATATAATCAGATATGTTATTGCGACATAGTTTTGCTTACAAATTTATTGGTTTCGACAGTGTGTGTCTCCCTATGCCTTTTTCGCGTTCAGTCTTACCCAGGGAGGCAAAAGTTATTTCCATGCCAATCTCTAGTTGCTAACCCCATCATAGGTATTCTTTGTATCGAAGTTTTTCCAACTAACAGTGTTTTTTCCCTTTTCTGAGCAGATTCTATTCTCTTTCCTGATGTCCCTATTGCATTGCGGTTGTCTAGCCATCTTCTGCTTGGTGTGGTGAGGATCTACTCGAAAAAGGTGAATTACCTTTTCGATGATTGCAGTGAGGCATTGCTTAAGGTAAAGCAAGCTTTTCGTTCTGCTGCGGTTGACCTACCTCCGGAAGAATCCAAAGCGCCATATCACTCTATTACCTTGCCAGAGACATTTGATCTTGATGATTTTGAGCTTCCGGACAATGAAATCTTTCAGGGGTTAGTTTTCTGTGTGTTCGTCAGTTTAATCTTCTGGCCATGTTTAAGCATTTTTACGTTTGGTCAGTCTTGGCTTTCTGGAGAGTGTTCTTGATTTCGTAACTTCATATTTCCAAATTTGTAATTTCCATATAAAATCTCCTACCATTGCTGTGGCTATTAGACCGTTATAAGAGAGCTCCATTTTGAGTTTCTCTCTTCCCTGTCTAAATTGTAATGTCCAAATTTTGATGCTTTGAAGGTTTCTTAATCCATTTCTCACCATTTGCTTGTTTAGCAGAAATTACATTGATCATCATGTTAGTACAAGAGAGCAGATTACCCTTCAGGATACCATGGATGGTGTTGTGTACTCGACATCACAATTTGGATTAGATGGTCTGTTGGGGTTCATGCTGCCCATATTT